ACTTAATCTTAAACTCTTCAAGATTGGCGCTGTTTAAAGTGGAACAGAATGCATTGTTCAATTATGTAATGTACTTAACTGTGCGACCAGAAAAAGATGAAAGAAATGAAAGAAAAGCTTGACTCACAGATGGCCCGAGATGTCCCGCCCAGTTTAAATTACAAGAGAAATAAAAAGCAGAGAAACATTTCAGTTTCGACAAAGCTTGAAACAAAACAAGAAAAAATAAGAAATTCGAGCAACGTTCTTGCACAAAATTAATTTCTGTTATTAGTTTGTTTACGTGATGACATATTTCACATTTAAAACGTGCATCCCAAAAATGTAATTAAACCCTAAAGCCGCGCTTTCATGAGGTGAGTTTACTTTGTATGATTGAAGTAAAATATAAGTTGTGGCCGTCAATCTTGCATTATCATGTCTGTTCGCGAGATCACTGGTTTGATAAACAGAAGGTTGCAATTTGCATTTGACGTGGTTTAACGCGAGTGAACCTCTCTGAAACATCTTTGATTGCACACAGGTACATCACGGTGGACCATTAATTGGGTAAGCCCATTCGGGCGTCCTTCAGTCATTGTGGTTCTGTAATGTAACCAAGAATCACTGAGATATTCACCTTCCAAAAAAAGTGCTATTTTCAGTGATAACAGGAGCATCAGAGACCCCGTACCTTGTAAATGTTTCCAGACGCCGCAGGTTACTTTTACTGCGCTCACGTGCAACTGGTGACCGAAAAAGTTGCTGCTATCCGCATTAATACTCTACGTTGGGGAATGCTGCAAAATCTATCACTTTGAGAGCAGCTGAAACTGAGTCTGGAGGGTCCGTTTGATTCCTGCCGTAGACGTACCATAATAACACCAAGTCCGTTAATTCTGACTGATTGTTGTGTATGTGCACACTTCATCCAAACACTATCATGAAAGTATCACGTTGTGCTTAATACGCAGCCCAACAATAAATTTGTAAGGTTCTTAAAACTGTAGCCTCACCCTCCACATATGCGATTCCTGCTCGAGATCCAGATCACAATCTGAATGACAGAATTCCAAGTCCGCCAATGTGGTGTTGCGTGGTGTCAGAAAAGCTGGTACCAACTGAAGTGCCTTAAGAGCCTACTGTTGCAGTGCCGGGAACCTGTGGAACGTGTTTAAGGTAGCACTACGCCAAATACGCGCCCTTAGAAGAAGTACAAAATCAGACCGAAATATCGCCGCCTGTTGACTCCCGGGAAAAGGTTGGCCTCAGTTTGTGGGTTTTTTTCACTGGAAATTCATGATTATGACCAGAGGATCACTTTTGTTTCAATTTTATGGGAGGGTTAGCCACGTGAATTTTTTATTCGCCTTTCCCCGAAGATACGCCCGAAATAGTAGTAAAACTATGCGCTCAGCTCTGAATGTAGGCGCCCTCCTCTATCCAAAATAGACCCGCAATATGGGGCTTTTTGTGAAAGAAATACCCCAAACTGGAAACTACCAGTCCCAAATTCGGGATTTATGCAAACATTTCTATGATCCCTCCTGGTTATGGCATGTCTTATTGTAAAAACCCCTTGGGATCACAAAATCTTAATGAGCTCGCGCGCAGAAATCCAACGTTTTGGTGGAATGCACCCTTAGTTCAAGACAATCAAGATTGACGTTTGCCACGGATCGATTAGATCTCAATTTTCAAGAGTTCATCCTAAAATTTGCACCATGAAAAAAGACTAAGACCATCATATTTATATGGAATTCCATATCTGCCG